AGCTCCCTCTCCAAAATCTGCAAAATCTAGGAAAAGGCTGGGGAGAGGGCAGTCAGGAGCCACGGGAAGGGGGCAGCAGGAAGCCAGGCTGTGAGACACAGTACTGGGCAGAGAAAGCTCTGCCCCAAGTCTCTCCGAGTTTGACAAGCACTAAAATACAGGGAGCGCCCAAACCCCCGAGATGCCACATCCCTTGGGCAGGGACAGCACAGGGATTCACCCCTGGGGACACCTGAGCCCCCCCGGGCCGGGCACCACGCACCTCTCGGATCTCCTTGATCTTGCAGCCTCCCTTGCCAATGAGGGACCCGCACTGGCTGGCAGGGACCACAAGCCGGAGGGTGACCGGGGGCCGGCTGGCAGCTGTGCTGTTGGTCATGGAGCTGCTGATGTCCTGCGAGGAAGAGGAGGTGTTGAGGGCTCAGCCCGGCTGGGACGGCACGCGCTGGGGCCGTGCCCGGCACAGGGACAGGGAGGTGACGCTGGCACCAGCGGCACAAGGTGACCTCGGGGCTTTCCCAGGACTTCCTCCGCAGCCCAGAAAATACACGGATGTATTTTGGGGAAGCAGCAGCCAAACTCTGCTGCCTCAGTGGAAATGGGTTAGGCAGTGGCCCAGGCTGGGTCCCACCTCAGCCAAGCAGGAACCGGCGCTGGAGGGGCACAAGGGACCGGGGGGGCTCGGGGACTCCGCGGCTCCAGGGTCAGCACGCAGCCTCCCGCTGCACCAGGGATCAAGGCAGCAGCTCCGGGAAAAACAATCCCGGCGCCGATTACAGCGGTCATGTGCTGGCAGGGGGAGGGGAGGCACAAGGCCAGGGCTCAACTGACCTACTAAAAGCAAAGCTTCAGCTCCAAGGCCGGTGCCCGGAGCGCTGCAGAGCCGTGCAGCCCGTGGAGGACTCTGGCTCCCCGCATTCAGCACAAACAGCTCCAAACCCTGCAGCCTTAAACGCTGCAGTGAGAGCAGGGGGGTCTGGGGACAGGGCTGCCAGCTCAGGCTTGTTTGTCCCTGGGTAGTGTCCCAAATCTACAGGGCAATGGAATTTGTACCCCCACAGGCAAGGTGAGGGCCACAGAGCTCTGCCCCACACCAAGTGAGGAGCACTCCCAATTCCTGCTCCCTCCAACGTGGAAATATCGACATCACAGCCCTGAGCAGGCTCTAACACCTGCAAGGTCCACGTTATCGAGCAGCAAAATCCCCCTGGAAGTCACTGATTTAACAGGACCAGGGACACGATGCAGCTCCTCCAGCCCCACAGAGCTGCAGCCCCATCTCCTCCTTGGCAGGGCTGGGGACAGAACTGAGCCCTGGGTGGGCTGGGGGAGGTGGCACAGCAGAAGCAGAGCCAGGGGGGGGTTCCAAAGCTGCGGGCAGAAGTCCCTGCGGGGCTCTGGCTCCAGCAGTGCCTGGACCTTGCCCCAGCGCCGCGCCGGACAAAGATCGGGGCCAGGCAGGGAAGCTGTCCGTGCGGAACAGCGGCCCCGGGCCCCCGGGGCTCGGCTGGGGTCAGCCCTTCCGGAGAGAGAGGCAGAACGGGGCGGCGACTGCAGGACACACCTCTTCCAGTTTGTCAATGATCATCGCAAAAGCTTTGAAGATGGCGTTGGTGGGTCCCGCCAGGGTGATGATCCGCTCGGGGCAGTTCCCTTCCGAGATGTTGATGCGAGCTCCGCTCTGCGGGGAGGCAAAGGCCACCTCAGTGCTGCGGGATTCCTGCGGACCGCCCGCTGGGCAGAGCCCTCCCTCCTCCTCCTCCTCCTCCTCCCCTCCCTCGCTCGGGCAGCCATCTTCTCTCCTGCTCGGCTTCCTGCCGCGCCTGCCCGCAGCTCGCACAGCTCGCACAGCTCCCGGCAGCCCGCGCGCCGCGCTCGGCGCCGCCGCCATCGCCCGCAGCCGCGCGGCACTCACCTCCTCTCGCATCTTCTTCACCGACTCGCCTTTCTGTGGGGACAAGAGACAAGGGGGACACGCGTCAGCGCGGTGCCAGAGCCACGGAGGGAGGGGAGACGGGGAAAAGGGGAAAGGGAGGGCTAGGAGAGTTTGTTCCTCACTTACCTTCCCAATGATGCTTCCCACCTCCTGCGATGGAAACAAAAGCACCATTAGTCAGCGTTTTAAAAACTCCTGGAGCCCCAAGCCTAAACTCGGCTCTTTTCACAGTCAAAACAAGCCCCTGAGCACTTGAGATCTGCCCCTCAGGTAACTGGGGTTTATCCCAGTTGTGCGGCTCTAGTTCCCACCGGGTCGATCTGCCAACCCCAGTAGTTATTTTCTTCGCTGGCGGCACCCCAGGATCTGCCCGGGCGCCCGCAGCACATTCCCGGCCCGGCAGCAGCTCCGGGAGATCCCACGGACGCACGCAGCCCACCCGTGCCGGGCCCGGGCTCCCCGCAGAGGGGACACGAACCTTTCCGTGCATGAGTAGCCGGATGGTGAGCGTGACATTGAGACCCCCTTCGATGACTCCGGTGTCCATGGTGGGCAGCGCGGGGTCGGCTCAGGCTGTGGCAGCGCTCGGGCCTCGGCTGGGGGGAGAGGGGCTGGGTGAGAGAGGGGCTCTGCCAACCCCCCCAAGCCTGTCCGGGCAGGATTCCAGCCTCCCTGGGCTGCCTCTCCCCTCAGATCGCCCCCTCAAGTGCTGGGACGATCCGTGGTGCTTTGGCTCCTCCTCCTACGAATTTCCAGAGCTGAACTGGACCGATCCCGCCTGGACCCAGCAACTGTTGGGGTCATGAGGGTCCTGCTCGGCCCCTGCCTCCCCCCAGTCCTGTTCTGTGCAGGGGCTTCTCTGAGGGACACCTGAACACTCGAGGGTGACCCCCGGCAGCACTGGGGACACAAACGGTTCCTGGACACGAGCAGGGACGCCGAGGGGGCACTGAGGGCTAATCGTGGTCCCTGCAGGTCCGGGGAAGCTGCCGCTCCCCCCGAGCCCCACGCTTTTCCCAGCCCAAGCCTTCCGATGGGAGCGGGCAGCCCGGTCCCGGGGGTTCGGCCCGCTGGGCAGCCGGGATTAGAGAAAAGAAACTCCACGGGCTGCCGGAGCCCGCGCGGGGCCCCTCGGAGCAGGTTCCGAGGCGATTCCCTCAGACCCAGATAAGGCACATGAGCGCACGATCAGGTTTCAAACCACCTGAGTCGGCAGCGCTTGCAAAACAGCCCGGCCGGCCCCGGCCGAGCGTTTCGCGGCAATCCGGTAAATAATCTCCCATTCCGGCTCCGCTTCTGCCCCATCAAAGTTTATCCGCGGCCCAGCCCGGCCCGGGGCCGCGCTGCCTCGCTGGCACCGGAGGGTTCCGCCGCGGCCCCCGGATCCAGCCCCGGCAGCGGGCCGAGGGCAGCCCGGGCCCGGCCGGGGACAAAAGGGCCCGGGCCGGGCTCCCGGAGAGGCCTTTCCGCCAGGAAACTTCCCCGATGGCGCCGCGCCCGGAGCGCCGGCCCGAACCGGGGCCGCGGCCCCGGAGCCAGCTCGGCCCTGCGCGGGGAGAACCGGGCCGGCGTCCCGGTCCGGGGAGAGCGGGAGGGGAGCGGCTGTCCCGGAGCGACCCCCGGGTGGGGCACGGGTACAAGGCGGGTGAGGGGATCCCGGGCCGGCGGCTCCGAACGGGACCGGAGCCCGGCGGGGAAACCGGGGGGAGCTGGGGTCGGGGGGCAGAAACGCGGTTCTGCTGCACGGCGGAGCGGGCCGGGCGGCTCCGAGCCCGCTCGGGAGCGGGGACCGCCGTTCCGCCGCGGGCAGCCCCGCGGGGACGATCCCGGGGCCGGCGGGGCGGCGGCGGCTCCGCGCGGGCCCGGACGAGCGCCGCCTCCCCGCTCCGGCGGGGGAAAACAACAGCGCGGGATGGCGGAAAAACCGGGCCCGGCCGCGAGAAACTCCAAAAATAAAATTAAAAAAACCAAAAGGGAAGGAAAAAAAATCAAAAAATCCAACTCCAAAAAGACGGAGCGGAAAGAAAGAAAAAAAAAAAAAAATGTCCCCCCGCCCCTCGGGCCCCCCCGCCGCCACCGGGCCGGGCGGGGGGCGGCGGCGCCATGTGACGCACGCGGGGCCCGCTCCCCCCGGCCCGGTTCCGGGGGGGGTTCGGGGGGATGTTGGCGGCGCGCGGCCCCGGGGCCGTTGCGGGCCCGGCCCGGCGGGCGGCGCGGGCCGCACAGGCCGCACAGGCCGCGCGGGCCGCGGGCGCCGTGAGGGCGCGGCCGGCGGGGGGGGCCCGGCCCGGGGTGGGGGGGGGTGGGAGGGGGAGAGGATCGGACCCGGATGGCGGCCGGGGGGGGCGAGGGGGCCCCGCGGGGAGAACCGGGGGGCGGCGGTGGGGGGGCGGGGGGGCGATGGGGGGGGGCGGGTGGTCGGGCCTACCTGTGTCGGCGCCGGTAACGGCGGTGGGCGAAGGGCGCTCCGGGCGGAGCGGGAGGAGGGAGGGCGGGAGGGAGGGGGGGGGAGGCGGGGAGGGAGCGCGGCGGGCGGGCGCGCGGGATGGCGGCGGCGGCGGCGCGGGCGCGGCTGCTCCGGCTGCGGCGGCCGCGGGTCTGGGAGGGGGCGGCGGGCGCGGCCCGATTTACACCCGCCCCGACCCGGAAACGCACCGCGCGCGCGGGGCGGGCCGGAGCGGCCGCCGCACCGCACAGCGCCCCCGGCGGCGGGGAGGTCCGGCGGGCACCGGCGGCACCGGCGGGCACCGGGGGGCGATGGGGACGGGATGGGGGCACTGGGGGGCACTGGGGAATAATGGGGGCACTGCGGGAAATGGGGGTAAAGGGGAGCGGTTAAAGCTGTGGTAGAACTGCGTACGGGGAGCTGTGGGGCACTGTGGGGCACTGGGGGGCACTGGGGAGCTATGGGGTGCCTGGGGGGCAGAAGGGGCACTGGGGGGCAATAGGAGGGTCTGGGGGGCAATAGGGGGGCACAGGGGCAGCCTCCCCTCCCCAGCAGCATTGGGGTTTGTGTGCCCCCCAAGCCCAGCCCCCACCGGCGCGAGGCAGACGCAGACACATATTGGGGTGTCCCAGAGTTTATTGGGGGACAGTGGGGACACCCCGGTCCCCCCCGCCCATGGGAGCAGGGCATGGGGGCGGTGGGGACAGGGTGGGGGTCCGGGGCTGTCCCGGTGGTCACAAGGGTCCCACGAGGTCCCGGGTGGCTCCCGGTGGTCCCGGGTGATGCCGCGGGGTGCTGGGGGGTCCCAGGAGCCTCAGTCGGAGCTGCTGGAGGAGGAGGAGGAGGAGGAGGACGAAGAGCGCTGGGGGGGGGGACAGCAGAGCCGTGAGCCCCTGAGGGGGGCTGGGGTGACCCCCTGTGCCCCCCCCGGGTCCCCCCCACCTTGTGCCTCTTGTGAGCCTTCTTCATCCTCTTCTTCATCTTCTTGGCCGCCTTCTTGTCCAGCCCGGGGGGGAACGAGGGGAGCACCCCGGGGTGGGGGAGCACCCCGGGGTGGGGGAGCACCCCGGGGTGGGGGGGGCCCAAGGGGGGGCCCGAGGGGGCCAGGGGCGGCCCCGGGGGGTACGGGGGGACCCCCGCGGGGTACGGGGGTTGCCCTGGGACCCCCATCGGGTTGGGGGGCGCCACGGGCGGGGGGTACACGGGGTTGGGGGGTGGGACCTGGGGGGGGTACGTGGGGTTCGGGGGGTACGCGGGGTTGGGGGGGGGCGGCTGTCCTGGGGGGGAAGGAAAGAGGAATTGAGGAGGGGGTCTGACCCGGGGGGGGTCAAGGCAGCCCCCCCAGTTTGGGGTGTCCCCCTGTACCTGCACCAGGGTTCCACATGGTGGGAGACTCCAGGACCTGGGGGGGGGCACGGGGGTGAGCGGGGACCCCCCAACCCCCCCCGCTGCTGTGGGGACCCGCCGGCACCCAGAGGAAACGGAGTCAGGGCGGATTTGGGGTGCGCGGGGGGATTTTGGGGTGCGGGGGGGTCCCGGGACTTCGCTCCCACCTTCGCTCCGGCCGCGGCCCCTCCCGGCAGGAAACGGGGCGGGGCTTGGGATGGCCCCGCCCACTCAGTACATGATCCCGCCCACCCGTTACTGGCCCCGCCCCTCGGCCCCGTGCCTCAGTTTCCCCACAGATCCCTGGTGGGTTCCCGGTCCCGGTGCCGGTGCCTCAGTTTCCCCACAGATCCCCGGTGGGTTCCCGGTCCCCGCCCCGTGCCTCAGTTTCCCCACGCACCTCTCGGGGGGCTGTCCCCGGGCCGGGCTCCCCCGGGGCCGGTGCCGGGGCCGGTGCCGGTGCCGGCCCCGCCGCCAGGCGCTGGAGCCGCTGCAGCGCCCGCTCGGCCGAGAGCCGCGCCTCGGGGTCGGGGTCCCAGCAATCCTCCAGCAGCTCCGGCAGGGCCCCCCCGGGCTGCGGGACCCCCAAGGCGGGGATGTCCCCCCGAACATCGCCGGGCAGCGGGGAGGGGACCCCCGGGCAGCGACCCCCAAACCCCCCCTTGGGTGTCCTGAGCCACCCACAGCCCCCGAAACCCTCTGGGGACCCGCGGGGTGACACCCCAAAACCCTCTGGGGACCCGCGGGGTGACACCCCAAAACACGGGCAGGGCACCCCCGGTACCCTCGGCATCCTTGGGCAGCTGGGCGGGGACACCGTGGGGGCCCCAAACGCCCCTGGGTGCCCCAAACACCCCTGGGTGCCCCGAACACCCCTGGGTGCCCCAACCCTGGGCGCCCCGAACACCCCAGGACACCCCGAACACCCCTGGACACCCCGAACACACCCCAGGACACCCCAAACACACCCCAGGACACCCTGAACACCCCAGGACACCCCAAACACACTCCAGGACACCCCGAACACCCCAGGACACCCCAAACACACTCCAGGACACCCCGAACACCCCTGGGTGCCCAGGCACAGACCCCCCCAGACCCCTGCCCCCCCGGGACCCCCGTGCCCACCCCTGCCCGGGCTCTGACCTGGGGGGCGCGGTGCCAGGCCGGGGGGATCAGCGGCCGCCGCCTCTCGTGGGCGGCCAAGCGGCGGAGCTGCGCCCCGCTGGGGCTGGAGCCCAGCTCGGCCTCGTAGGCCAGCCGGAACGGCGGCACCGGGGCTCCTGCGGGGCACCGGGGGCTCAGCGGGGCGGGGGCAGCGCGGGGGCACCGGGGGCAGCGGGGCTCACCGGGGGCTCAGCGGGGCGGGGGCAGCGCGGGGGCACCGGGGGGGCAGCGGGGCGGCGGCACCGGGGGCACCGGGGGCAGCAGGGCTCACCGGGGCTCAGCGGGGCGGGGGCAGCGCGGGGGCACCGGGGGGGCAGCGGGGCTCACCGGGGCCTCAGCGGCACCGGGGCTCCTGCGGGGGCACCGGGGCTCAGCGGGGCACCGGGGGCTCAGCGGGGCGGGGGCAGCGCGGGGGCACCGGGGGCTCAGCGGGGCGGGGGCACCGGGGGGGCACCGGGGGCACCGCGGGGCTCACCGGGGCTCAGCGCCTGGCAGCGGGACAGGATCTCCCAGAGCAGCAGCGCCAGCGCGTAGACGTCGGCCTGGCGCAGCGCCCGGCCCCAGGCCCGCAGGTCCAGGCTCTCGTCCAGGATCTCGGGCGCCAGGTACCGCTGGGTGCCCGCCTGCGCCCCAGAGGGACGTCAGCTGGGGCACCGGGGCCACCGGGGACAGCAGGGCCACTGGGGACAGCAGGGCCACCAGGGCCACCAAGGCCAAAGGGGTCACCAGGGCCACCAGAGCCACCAGGACCCCAGGCCGGGCTCACGGGGGTGCGTGAGCTCAGCTGGCACCCACAGCCCATGCTGCCGGTGACATCTGGGGTGCCATCCCCAACCCGGGGCCTTCCCCTCCCCGTGCCACCCCGTGCCACCTGTGTCACCCGTGTCACCTTGCGGATGGCCACGGCGTGGCGGCTGTCACTGCTGTCCTGGGCCCGCGGCGGCAGCGCCAGCGCCAGCCCGAAGTCACCGATGGCGCAGGTGCCATCGTCCCGCACCAGCACGTTCTGGCTGCTCAGGTCCCGGTGCACCACGCTGGGCTTGTAGAGCCCTGCGGGCACGGCGGGCACGGCGGGTCACGGTGGGTCACAGCGGGCACGGCACGGGGCACGGGGCAGGGGACACCGCGTGCCACCCGCGCTCACCGTCACGCCACAGCTCCTGGTGCAGGAAGGCCAGGCCGCGGGCCAGCGACAGCGCCAGGCGCACGCTGCCCGCCCACGTCCCCACGTGCTGCCCCAGGAAGTGCCGCAGGGAGCCCTGGGGACACGCGGGGGACACGGGTGGGACACGGGTGGGACATGGGGCACCCCCCGGGATCCCCCACGCCTCTCCCTCCGTCAGGCTGGCATCGCCACCCCGCTGCTCCCCACTGTCCCACAGCCCCCCGAGCTGCCGAGACCCCTGGCACAGCCCCGAGCCCCCCAAACCCCCATTAGCCCAAAGATCCCCGAGCCCCCGTTACCCCAAAGATCCCCGAGCCCCCGTTACCCCAAAGATCCCCGAGCCCCCGTTCCTCCGGTACCCCCCGAGCCCCTCAAACTCCTGTTACACCCAGCCCTGGTACCCCCCGACCCCCAAACTCCCGTTCCACCACTCCCGGTACCCCCCAAACTCCCGTTCCACCCCCTCCCGGTCCCCCCCGAGTCCCCCAAAGTCCCGGTGCCCCCGGTGCCCCCCGGTGCCCCGAGCCCGGACCCACGGCGGGGTAGAGCTGCAGCACCAGGAGCCCGGCCCGGCCCCGGGGCCCCCGAGTCCCCAAAGTCCCGGTGCCCCCCGGTGCCCCCGAGCCCCCAAAGTCCCGGTACCCCCCAAAGTCCCGGTGCCCCCCGGTGCCCCCGAGTCCCCCAAAGTCCCGGTGCCCCCCGGTGCCCCCCGGGCCCCGAGCCCGGACCCACGGCGGGGTAGAGCTGCAGCACCAGGAGCCCGGCCCGGCCCCGGGGCCCGCCGGTCCGGCTGTGCAGGAGCCGCGCCACGTTCTGGTGCTCCATCAGCGGCAGCGCGTGAACGGCGCGTTCGGCGCGGAACCTCCGCCCGGCCCCGGCCGCGAACGCCTTAATGGCCACGGGCCGCCGGCGGAGCGACCCCCGCCACACGGCCGAGAAACGGCCCGCCTGCAGCACCTGCCGGGACACGGGGACAGCTGGGACCGCGTGTCCCCAACCCCGCGGGGGACAGCTGGGACCGCGTGTCCCCAACCCCGCGGGGACACAGCTGGGACCGCGACCCGCGGGGACACGGGGGACAGCTGGGACAGCGTGTCCCCAAACCCCCGGGGGACAGCTGGGACCGCAACCCCACGGGGGACAGCTGGGACCGCGTGTCCCCAACCCCCCGGGGGACACAGCTGGGACCGCGACCCCGCGGGGACACAGCTGGGACAGCTGGGACCGCGTGTCCCAAACCCCACGGGGGACACAGCTGGGACCGCGTGTCCCCAGCCCCGCGGGGACACAGCTGGGACCCCGACCCCACGGGGACACGGGACACAGCTGGCACCGCGTGTCCCCGACACAGGGACCCCCCTACCCGGGCACCTCTGGGGGTCCCCGGGCACCCTCAGCACTGCTGTGCCCCCCCCCCCCCCCCCCCCCGGACTGATGTCCCCTCTGCCGTGAGTGTCCCCACGTCCCCTCCCAGCATCACCGCCTTCCCCGTGGGTGTCCCTTGCCCCGTGGGTGTCTCCCCATAGGTGTCCTTTGCCCCATGGCTGTCCCCCCATGGGTGTCCCTCGTCCTGCGGATGTCCCTCTCCCCATGGGGTCACCCCGTGGATGTCCCTTACTCCATGGGCGTCCCCCCATGGGTGTCCCTCGCCCCACGGCTGTCCCCCCGTGGGTGTCCCTCGCCCCGTGGGTGTCCCCCCGTGGGTGTCCCTCACCCCGTGGGTGTCCCGCACCTGCAGGAAGTGCAGCGCAGGCAGGTCCGGGCTGGGGGGCTCCGGGGGGACCCCGATTCTCCGCCCCCCCCGCGGCAGCTGCCCTGGGCGGGCCCTTGTCCAGCGCAGCCCTGGAGGGGGGACACGGGGGACACCCCCATGCGGGGACCCCCCCCCAGAAACCCCCCAAATCAGGGACACGGGACCTGGGGACACCAGGGACCTACAGCCCCCCTCGCCAGGCAGGGGACACGGGGAATGGGGCACCCCGGGATCCCCGGGACACCGGGACACCCCGCCCAGGGGTCACACGGACACCGGGACACCCCGCCCAGGGGTCACAAGGACACCGGGGACACCCCGGGGGTCACAAGGACACCGGGACACCCCACCGGGGTCACACGGACACCGGGGACACCCCACCGGGTCACACGGACACCGGGACACCCCACCCAGGGGGACACAAGGACACCGGGACACCCCACCCCAGGGACAGGGTGACACAAACTTGGGGACATCCCCCCATCCACCCGGGAGACCCGCGCTCCGGGAACACCAGAGATGTGGCATTTGGGGACACCCAGGGGACACCGGGGCGGGGCTGGCTGTGCCCGGGGGTCCCCCCGTCCCCGCCCTGTCCCTGTCCCTGTCCCTACCGAGGCCGCCCAGGCAGACGAGGAGGATGAGGAGGAGGGGGGCGGCCCCCAGCAGCCACAGGGTCCCCGCGGAGCCCCCCTGGCCGGGCACTGGGGACAGAGACTGCGGTGACACGGAGCCCCCCGAGCCCCGCGTGTCCGGGGGGTGCTAGGGGACACTTTAGGGGTGCTGTGGCTTCCCCAGACCCCCGCGAGTCCCAGCCCCCCTCAGGGACCCCCCTCCCCGTCCCCCACGGGTCCCGCGTGGGTCCAAGGCGCACCCAGCCCCCCCCGGGTCCCCGGTGTGTCCCCGGTGTGTCCCCACGGCCGAGCGCCCCCCGAACGCCCCGGTGGGTGCCGTACCTGGGCCCTGGCGGGACCCCCCCGGCCCCCCGAACGCCCCGGTCCGTACCTGGGCCCTGGCGGGGCCCCCCCAGCCCCCCGAACCCCCCGGTGCCGTACCTGGGCCCTGGCGGGGCCCCCCCAGCCCCCCCAGCCCCCCGGTGCCGTACCTGGGCCCTGGCGGGGCCCCCCCGGCCCCCCGGCCGTGCCGGTGCCGGTGGCGTTGCCGTTGCAGAGGTGGCCGTGGCACAGGCACAGCAGCACGGAGCTGCCGGGGTGTCCCGCGGGGCTGGGGGCGCAGGTGGCCGAGGGACACGCGTCCCCCCGGCCCCCCCAGCAGCCTGGGGACAGCGGCACGGTCACCCCGGGGCCCCAAAATCCCCCCGGGGCAGGAGCAACCCATCAATATTACCCCCAAATCCCCCCGGGGCAGGACCAACCCCTCCATCCCACCCCAAACTCCCCCCGGGGCAGGACCAACCCCTCCATCCCACCCCAAAATCCCCCCGGGGCAGGACCAAACCCCTCCATCCCACCCCAAAATCCCCCTGGGGCAGGAAGAACCCCTCTACCGTACCCCAAAACCCCCCAGGGGCAGGAACAAACCCCTCCATTGTACCCCAAAATACCCCGGGGCAGGATTCAAACCCCTCCATCCCACCCCAAAATCCCCCCGGGGCAGGATTCAAACCCCTCCATCCTGCCCCAAAATCCCCCCGGGGCAGGACCAACCCCTCCATCCCACCCCAAAATCCCCCCGGGGCAGGAAGAACCCCTCCATTGTACCCCAAAATCCCCCCGGGGCAGGACCAACCCCTCCATCCCACCCCAAACTCCCCCCGGGGCAGGACCAAACCCCTCCATCCTACCCCAAACTCCCCCCGGGGCAGGACCAAACCCTCCATCCCACCCCAAACTCCCCCCGGGGCAGGACCAAACCCCTCCATCCTACCCCAAACTCCCCCTGGGGCAGGAACAAACCCCTCCATGCTACCCCAAAATCCCCCCAGGAGAGGACCAAACCCCTCCATCGTACCCCAAAATCCCCTCGGGGCAGGACCAAACCCCTCCCCCGTACCCCAAAATCCCCCCGGGGCAGGAAGAACCCCTCCCCCGTACCCCAAAATCCCCCCGGGGGCAGGACCAAACCCCTCCATCCCACCCCAAACTCCCCCTGGGGCAGGCCCAAACCCCTCCCCACGCCCCTCTGCCCCCGCAGCCCCCCACCCCCGAGCCCCGGGGGTCTCACCCTGCACCAGAGCGTGGCTGCGGTTCCAGATGCCCACGCAGCACTGGCCGGGGGGGCAGCGCACGGCCCCGGCCGCTGTGCCCCCCGCGCCCCCCAGCGCGCCCCGCACGCTCGGGTGCTTGTAGGACACGCAGGTCAGGTTGTGGGGGCCTGGGGGGGACACGCTCGTACCAGGGAGGGCTTGAACCCCCCAAAAAACCCCCCCAGCCCCGGCTGTGCCCCCCAGCACCTACCTGGGTGCCCCATGGGAGCCTCCGGGGGTCCGTGGGAAGAGGAGCGGAGCGGGAGCAGGAGGAGGAGGAAGAAAAGGAGAAGGAGGAGGAGGAGGAGGAGGAGGAGGAGGAGGAGGAGGAGGAGGAGGAAGGTGCTGCCCCCGCATCAGGGAGGAGAGAGCCGGGGTGTCTGGGGGGGCAGCCAGGCCTGGCCCCTGCCCCACATCGTCACCCGAGCGCAGCTCAGGGTCCCCTGTCCCCACTGGTGCCACTCTGGCAGCCACTGCACCCCTGCCACCCCCCAAAACCGGCTGTGCCACCCCCCAAAATCCGGCTGTGCCATCCCCCAAAAACCAGCCCTGCCCCCCCAAAACCGGCTGTGCCATCCCCCAAAAACCGGCTGTGCCACCCCCCAAAAACCGCCTGTGCCACCCCCCCCAAAACCGCCTGTGCCACCCCCCAAAAACCGCCTGTGCCACCCCCCAAAAACCGGCCGTGCCACCCCAAAACCGGCCGTGCCACCCCAAAAACCGCCTGTGCCACCCCCCAAAAACTGGCCATGCCCCCCCAAAAAACCGACTGTGCCACCCCCAAAACTGGCTGTGCCACCCCCAAAAACCACCTGTGCCACCCCCAAAACCGGCCGTGCCACCCCCCCAAAACCGGCTGTGCCCCCTCAAAAACCGCCTGTGCCACCCCAAAAACCGGCCGTGCCCCCCAAAAACCGGCCGTGCCCCCCCAAGGGACCCCCCCGCAGACTTCCAGACAACGCCAGCGACTCGTGTTTATTACAAAAAGAACTCGTCGTTCCCCATTTACAAAGGAGCCCCCCAAAACTAACAGTTTCATCTAAGTCTTTTTGTACAAAAAAATAGCACTTTGGGACCCAGAAAAAAAAAAAATCATCCACCATCCTCCCCCCCCCCCCAAAAAAAAAACCAAAAATCGCCTCTGGGGGGGAGGTTTATACATCAGCCACCGGATTTGTAAAAACCAACCCCCCTCCCCTCCCCTTCCCCAAATTAAAACAACAGAGACGGGACGAGATCAAACAGGGAGAGAATTATTGCCAGTTTGGGGGGGCCGGACCCCCCAGGACCCCCCCGCTGCATAGAGAACCGGCCCCGGCCCCCCGGAATGAAGGGGTGACAGTGGGTTAAAGCTGGGAGATGGGGCAGCCCCCCGAGCCCCCCAGAGCCCCCCAGAGCCCCCCAGAGCCCCCCAGAGCCTCGCTGGGGTGGGGGGGGCAGGAGCGGAGCGGGGGGCTCATCCCCAGCCTGTCCCCCCTTGTCAAGGCACGTTTGTGTTTTGTGTCCCCCCCGGGCACGGCTGGGGGGGTTTGGGGGGCGCTGGGGGGGTTGGGGTGCCAGGAGCAGGGGGGGGACCCCGGTGCCAACAGAGCCAAAGTGGGGCGGGGGGATCCAGCCGCCCCCCAGCCCCGGCACTGGGAGCAGCGCTGGTGGTGTGGAGCCCCCCAAAATGCTCTGATCCCCCCAAAAAGCGCAGGGGAGCAGCCCAGGCTCTGAGAGAGACCCCCGGGGGTCCCAGAGGAAAGCCGAGCTCCTTCGGGGACAATCCATGGGGAAGGGACAGCGGGGACACCCCCGGGGGGACAGCGGGGACAGCCCGGGGGGACAGCGGGGACACAGCGGGGACACCCCGGGGGGACACAGTGGGGACACAGCGGGGACACCCCCGGGGGGACACAGCGGGGACACCCCCGGGGACACGCCGGGGACACCCCCGGGGGGACACAGCGGGGACACCCCCGGGGGACACAGCGGGGACAGCCCCGGGGGGACACGCCGGGGACAGCCCCGGGGGACACAGCGGGGACACCCCGGGGGACACAGCGGGGACACGCCGGGGACACCCCCGGGGGACACAGCGGGGACAGCCCCGGGGGGACACAGAGGGGACACCCCAGGGGGACACAGTGGGGACACACAGCGGGGACAGCCCCGCACCAGGTCGGGATCGGGTTTGGCACTTGATCCCCTCTGGGGACAGAGCTGGGCTCGGGGGGCATCGGGTGGGGGTAAAATAATCAAATTGAGCATTAAATTAAGAAACCTCCTGTTTTTTGTCCCAATCCTTTGTGGGTTTTGGGCTGGGGGGGTGGGGGCGGGGGGAGCTCATAGTGCTTCACAGGGTTATTAAAATACAAATGCTTAAAGTTTCCTATATAAAAATATACAAATGCAAAAATAGATATCGAGAGAGAGAGCTGGGGAGGGTCTGGGGGGGCCGGGCCCTGCGCCCCCTCCCCGGGGAGCTTCTGCCGCCTTTCCTTTTGTGTTTTACAAAATAAAAACCCAAATCAAAACAAGATTCCTGCTGGTTCCCGGGGCTCCGGAGCGGGCAGAGCTCCGGGATGGAGATGGGCAGCGGGGTCAGCTCCTTTCCCGAGGGACTCGGCACCTTCCCGGTGCCCCTGGCTCTGCCGGAGCCTCTCCCGGGAACGGGGAGCAGGAGAAGGGTGGGGAGCACGGGCAGGAGCATCACCAGAACGGCCCGGGGCAGGCGGGAATAATGCCCGGGGCAGGCGGGAATAATGCCCGGGGCAGGAGGGATGAACTCCTGGGGCAGGAGGGAATAATGCCCGGGGTAGGTGGGATTAATACCCGGGGCAGGAGGGATGAACTCCTGGGGCAGGTGGGATTAATGCCCCAGGCAGGTGGGATGAACAGCCCAGGGCAGGAGGGATTAATGCCCAGGGTAGGTGGAATTAATGCCCAGGGCAGGAGGGATTAATCCCCGGGGTAGGTGGGAACAGCCCAGGGCAGGAGGGATTAATTCTTGGGGTAGGTGGGAATAATTCTTGGGGTAGGTGGTATTAATTCTTGGGGTAGGTGGGAATAATGCCCAGGGCAGGTGGGATTAATGCCCCAGGGCAGGAGGGATTAATTCCTGGGCAGGAGGTATTAATTCCCGGGCAGGAGGGATTAATTCCTGGGGTAGGTGGGATGAACTCCCGGGGTAGGTGGAATTAATGCCCAGGGCAGGTGGGAATAATGCCCTGGGGCAGGTGGGATTCATCCCTGGGCAGGTGGGATTCATGGATCTGCCGCGTCCCCGGGGGTTCTCCCCCTGCACCCCCTGACCCCAGGATGGGAGCGGGGAAGCTCCTGCTCAGCTCCCTGTCCTCCTCCTCCTCCTCCTCCTCCTCGGGGTCACTCCAGGGCCCCCAGGCTCACCCCAAAGCTGCTGCTCGGGAACAATCCCAATTTCCCCGTCTGGGGATCCCTTTGTGCCTGGGGCAGGAAGAGGAGGGTGTGGGAGGAAGAGCGGAAAGGACCGAGCCCTCCCGCGGCGGGAAGAGCAGGATCCTGCAAAACCCTTTTTGGTTGTTTTTTTAACAAGCTCTCCCTATTTCCAGCACCTTTTTTCCTTTTTTTCTGTTGGTGCCACAACAAAACCCTCGTGTCCCTGCGGTGCTTCCCCCTCGCTCCAGACCGGCTGAGCTCCGCAGATTCTCCTTTTTCCCAATTATTACTATATTATTATTAATTCCAATGCTGGCTGTAATTTAAAAATCAACTTTTCCCCCCGAGCAGGCTCCAGTTGTCCCTCCAGGGCTGCGTCCCGGCCCCTCTGTCCAAGACCTTCCCAGGAGCAGCTCCACTCCCACGGGACCGGGAGCCTCGCCAAGAAAACGGCTGGAAAAACCCGAGATCCAGAGAAAGAAAATAAAAACAACACCTGCCGAGGCAGGGGAGGGCAGTGGGAGTCCAAGGGCGAAAAATCCAGCGGGATCTCCCCCGAGAATGCCAAAGGAATGACAGAGTCACCTCAGAGCAAATGTCCGAGCGCCCGGGAGGGTGCGGGGCTCTGGTGGGGTCCGGGCGGGGAGGGAGAGCTCGGGCATCGTCCCAGAGGGGCCAACCTGCTCCAGGATAAGGCATCAAAGGGACCACGCCATGGTCACAGCAACATCTCTCCTCTCTCAAACGAACACATTTTATATTTTTATATATATAATAATAATATAGAATCTTTTCTCTTCTTTTTTTTTTTGCTTTTTTGCTTTTTTTTTTTTTGTATTGTTTTGTTGATATTTCTGTTGTCAGGGTTTCTTTTTTGTTGTTGGTTTTCTTTTTTTTGTTTTTTTTTGCCTTTTTTTTTTTTTTTTTTGCTAAAAGGACCGAGGCGTGACGACGCCGAGGGACCTCGGGTGGGGAGGCAGGAGGGGTGGGGGAGGAAAAAAACGGGGAGGGAGGGAGAGGGGGGGACAAAAAAAAAAAAAAAAAAAAAAATCAAGCCGAAATTAAAAAATATATATATATATAGCTCTGGCCTTCGAGTGGAGGTGGCAGCGCTCAGAAGCCGTTGCCGCTGATGTTGATGGACTGCAGGTCGGCCACCTGCATGACGTTGATGCCGCTGCTGGCCAGGCGGGCGATGCCCTCGGGGCAGATGGCCTCCATGGCCACCATGTTGGTGGCGATGAGTGCCGAGGGCGTGGCGCCGCCACCGCCGCCCTCGGCCGCGGCCGCCGAGTCCAGGGGCACGGCCGAGACGTTCATGGCCACGCCGGCGGCGCCTCCCTTCTTGTTCTGGTGGGTCTTGATGTGCTTGGAGAGGTGGTCGCTGCGCATGAAGCGTTTGGGGCACTCCGGGCAGGCGAACTTCTTCTCTCCTGGGGACGGGAGAGGGGCGTGAGGGGCGGCACAACGGGAAAAGGATTGCTGCTGCCAGGCTTTCTTTTTTGTTGTTGGTTTTTGTTTTTTGTATTTTGTTTTTTTTTTCTTTTTTATTGCTAAAAACCAAAACCTGAAGGGCAGGAAACTCTTCCCTTTTTTCGGGAAGAGGTTCCTACCCTTGAGAGGGTCAGACCCCGGAGCGAACACCTGAAGGCCAATTCCCCTGATTTTGGTTAAAGGTTCCTCCCCACGCCAACGCTCCGGCTGCGGAGGGGTCCCCCACCCCAAGAGAGGCCAAGGCTGGAGTTTGGGGTGCAGAATTTCGGGGTGGCCGCCCCACAGAGCCCCCCGAGCCCAGCCCCACCTGTGTGCGTGCGCTTGTGCCGCTGCAGCTCGTCGGAGCGGGTGAAGCGCTTCCCGCACAGCACCCAGGTGCAGA